GGGGTAAGGAGGGGAGGCTAGACCGTCCAAATTCACACCCTCTTTTTTTCCGGTCTTCCCGGTCTACCAAGGACCCGGCCCGCTGCGACCGGGGAGTCTGGGTCCTCCGGAGGACCCGGCCTGTCGTTTTGGACACAGCCACCATGTTCATAGATATACAAAATAAGCTCTATAAATTATTTGGTTTTGTTTACCTTTAAATGTCTCTTTATGGTAAAGCAGGCCCCCCTGAACACATCCTGCCCGAGGGCCCCCAGATGTCTCGAGCCGGCCCTGCTCGTGTTTAAATTATAAACTCGCGTGAGCAAATTACAGCAAGTGAAGCACAAACTTCCCACTTCCTCCGTGGCACCGTTCCAAAGTCTGACAGCGATAGGCACACGGCCAACCATGACGGAAGACCTCTGATGTCATCCAAGTCAGTAGTTGAAGCTAATTTTTTTAAAGTTGTCATAGTTTGGCTCACCAGCTGAATTAAACTGATTAAATCATATCTGTGATGTCAGCCCAGCACACAAGGCTCATAGTGAGAAACGTGGTTTTTTTTTTTTTTCCTATCTTTTATGGTTTACCTGCTTGTTTTTGACCCACTTCAAACAGCAGAGACACGCAGACGTTAGTAAATCTGATCCAGGATCTGCTGTTCCTCCTGTTTAACTCGCAGCTATGGGCGGACCCACAGATCTGTGTTTAAATAGTCAAGTTTCCTCCCTCAGCCTCAGCTCGGGCTAACGCCATGTTGGCTGTTGTGACTTGACGTATTTTTACTACGAACCTGACAGGAGTGTCTCCGTGCGCGCGCCGCTCCCTCCCCCCTTCCTCTCTCTCTCTCTCTCTCTTTGTACACCTCCATTTTTTTTTCTTCTTTAATTTTGTTTTGATGGTTCTTGGATGACATTCGCGGAGCATGCACACGTTTCTGCTTTTAAAGGGAGTGCTCGCAGCGTGAAAGAGTCGTCCGAAATTCCTCGCTCGTGCGCGAGCGCGTGTGCCTTCCTTCCTCGTCGCGTGTGCGCCGCAAAATGTCAGATGTTCGCCTTTCCAACGCGAGCCCGACGGTGGAGAGGGTGGACGCCCGGCAGCCCGCCGAGAGCGTCCGCTCGGGCGCCCGCCGGATGCTGTTCGGCAAGCCCGACCGGGAGGAGATTCGGAGGTACGCGGACGCCTCGCAGCGGGAGAGCGTGCGGGATTTCAGGGAGCGGTTTAACTTCGACCCGGTGACGGAGACGCCGCTCCCCGGGGGGGACTACGAATGGAAGGCGGACGAGGAGGCACCGGAGTTTTACAGCAGGCTGCCCCACGGGAGTGAACGGCCGCCGCGGGGAGAGGCTCGAGACTCGCCCGGCCGCGGCGAGGAGAGCAGGACGAGGACCGAGTCCGCTCCAGAGACGAAGGGTTCGAGGAAACGACGATCGGGAGCCTCCGGTAGGGACTTTTAAACAGTTTTTGAAGTGCTTTGCACCATTTTTGACTGGCTGGAAGCAGCGGGTGTTGTGTCGGATTCCGTTACCCGCTCGAAATCCGTGCCGGAGCTACTTTTTCTGTGGGTTACCCTTTTAAAACGTACACATTTCGACGTAAAACAGTTTTTAAAAATTACGTCATGACGTCACGACTCATGTATTTATTTCACAAACATATGAACTTATATTTTTTTTTATTAACGAGCAAATATTTTTGTTATTTTCAATGTGAGTGGACGAAAAAAAAAAATCTTAAAACCGCTAAGGTTAAAGAGAAAACGGCCAAGATGGAGGTGGGGAACAAATCTGGACACAACACCAAAGATTCAGTCGAAAAGTCGACCTTGACATGTGCCGTTGAAGTTAAATTTAACAACTTTTAAGTTGTTTTTGTATCTGTTTGGGTGCTATAACCTACTTAAGATGTCAAAAGTCGTTTTTTTTAATTAAAATATATATTTATGTCAGGTTCCTGCTCCGATGAGTGTCCGAAGAGAAGGTCGAAGTCGGACAGGGATGATGATGATGATGAGGAGGAGGAGGAGGACTGTGTTGGAGGTGTGGTGAAGACATCCAGCAGGCCTGAGGATAACCAGGAGGTCCTGTAAAATGCAGGTCAGGAACCAGTTTTTGTGCCTTTTTTTAAAATATTGCATAACAAAAACAAGAACTGTAAACATCTGCTTTGCTGTGTGCAAACTCGTGTTGACCTGTTTAAAGCTCCCCGAGCTGTGTGTGTGTCTGTGTGTGTCTGTGTGTGTGTGTGCATGTGTGACATCAAGCATAAATGCAACCATTCAAACAGCCTGTTTCCTCTTTACGTCCCGCAGAGCACTGAGACCTGTTGCTGGTGGATTACTGTAGGCTTTCTCATCATCTGACAGAAGAGACAAAATGAAAAATATAAGAAAAATTTAAAAAAAAAAAAGCAGCTTTGTATCCTGAGGAAGAGGAGGAAGCTGCACAAAAAGCACTGAAGATGTACACTAGAACTCAAAATCAATATCCTCAAAAAGCAGCAGACAATGTAGCAGTATGCAAATTAATTTTTGCTCTTTTTATTTTGTTTTTATAAAAAGAAAAATATGTACTACCTATGTTTCAAATGTAGCAATTAAGAAAGCAATTTTTTTTGCTTTTTATACATTTTTTTATGTGTGTGTGTGAGTTTGACTCTGGAAGCTGCAGTGCAATTTCCAACAAAATAATGATTCATTATTCAGGTAATTGAATAATAAAACATTTTTTTTAAAAGTCAGGGTTAAGTATAAATGTTTTTTCATTCAAATATGTTTTGAAGACCCAGATGGCCACACTGTAAACTGTAAGCCCATCGAACTGACTTTATAAATACGAGTTTGTCCCTTTTTTTTGTGTGTTTTTGTTTATAAACCTGTGGATAGAGAGGTGTTCAAACTGCTGAGCAATATCCAACCAAATTTCTGAAATAACCCCAGAAGTTACTTTAAATAAAGTTGCAGGTTACTTCCCATTCATGCTCCAGGGTAAGAGAGTAAATATTTTTTAAAACCACTGGGCGTTTTCTTTTTTTTTATGCAAATATGTGAATCAAAGATTTGTTTTTGTGCTGTGGAATTCATGTGGAACATGAAGTTGCACTATTCATTTTCTCRTTTTTAATGAGGGTCAAGAAAAGAAAAAAAAGAGAAACTCATTTTTTGTAAAACATTGAAGTGTAACTTTTTTTTTGATAAACACTGAAAGTTTATTCTAACTTATTTATGTTGTGCTGTTTTTTGTGGGTGTGTGTGTACAGCTTTCCAAAGCAACATTATGTGCTTTTTTTTCATAAATATATTTTCATTTTTTTTTTTGTAAAAGACAAATAAATAAATAAAATTGCAAAACTGAGCCTAATAATCGATTTCATACCTCTTCTTTTTTTTTTTCAAAGCCACAATTTATTTTGTACCAGTAATGTAATAAAATCTAGTTTTGATGTTAAAATTTAATTATTATGTTAAGAAATGTCATGTTTTAAACCCAGTATAGGTTTTTATTTAGAATTTTCAGGCTTTTAACAATTTTTAAATTTACACTCAATCATTATTTTATTCTGAAGTGAGCTCATCATTGTACAAATGTAAATAAATGACTCAATTTTTGCCAACAAGACCAGATTTGACTGATTTTGCTCATTTATCACAAACCAAAATCACATATTTTATCAACCATTATAACTTATAGACTAAAATTATTTTTATTATGTTGAAGATAAACTTTGTCATTTTGGTCAATTTGTTTGCACTCAAGTACTGTTTGAGGACAACTCTATAGTTTTAGCTCATTTTGACCATTTTGCGTTTGGCTCTGATTTAATCAGCAGTAGACTTTCATCTGATGATTGCATGTAAAGTTTCACTCAAATCAGACTGAATTCATTGAGATCTTTTGCTTACAGACACACATTGATCGTAGTATTAGATAAAAACAATGAGTTTGGTTATAAGTGATGCGTCTGTGGCTTCGATCTGAAGCAGCTCAGGAGGTTTTAAAGAACATTTCTGTTCATTTGTTTCTTGGGACTCGCTGTGCACGTTCAGGCCCTCTCTGCAGAATCCCTTCGGTCCGGCGTTGCTGCTTCTGAAGTTGAAAACAACAAGGGTATGTCCTCAGGGGGAGAGGAGGAGGAAAAGGAGAAAAAAAAAGAGGGAAAGAAGTTTTCACTTACTGACAGTCCAAGTCTCCAATCGTAGCGGGGCAAAAGAAAGCAGACCACTGAGGAGGCAGCCAGTCAGAGAGCGGTGGGAGGGAGTCCGGCTCGGTACAGGCTGTTCTTTTCACAAAACACACACACACCACCCAATTAGTTTCATTGGCTGACTCTTTCCTGTTGACACTAGTGTGTAGGAGTCAAGTACAGAAAGAGCTACTTCATGACATCTCACACTCACTGTGAGCCTCTGGACTGAGCTCATGACTTTATGGTCAACTTTTAACATTTGTAATAAAAGTTAACAACTCAAGACGGTACGTTAAACTCAATACGCCCTGGTGTTTGTGCTCTTTAGTGTCTGGTTTTTTGGTGTATTTTTGTATACAGGCCTGTACAGAGCCCACTCTAGGGGCCATCCTTTTTGCCAGGAGGTCCTTTAATCTGCTAACGGCTAATAGCGATTAACCTTTTCACTCACTTTGGAAAACGTTAGCAGAGCAGTTWGTTTCTGCTAAATTAGGTTTTGCCAGCTTGAAGTCCGTGGACAAATTTCGTTTTTATTTTTACAAAACTTAATAAATAAACAAGCATAGTTACAAAAGCCCAAACTGATTAAACAAGGGAGCCAGGAGTGACGTAACATGAACTGCGGAAAATTTCCAAAGTCTCATATGTCGTCACGTCATCAKCTCAAAGGAGGCCAGAACATTACGTAGACAGATRGCMATCTTAGCAGTTAGCAATTAGCTGTTAATGCTAACTTCTGCTAATTTTTTRCTTGTTATTGTTAGCTCCCGCTAATTTTTTTTAGTGGTTTAGCTTTAGCAAAGCTACATTTGTAATAAGCGGATATTTTTGGTCACGTGCTCCACCTTTGCTTTTTGCGTTCCCTCGTAGTACTTTTTTACTTTACCTCGCAGTACTTTTGCGCTCCTTCGCAAATGTTATTTGTTATTGTTGTGCCTGCTGGTTTATAAATAAATTCACATGTGCACCATTACACTAGCCTGGTAAAAACCAGACCCTTGTCCTTCACTTTGCTTCGGACGCGGACTTTGTCTGGACTCTCGGCTATAGAGAAGCGATTCTTGCTGGAGGCGTGGCCTCTGCTGAAGTTTAAAATGATTGGATCGGTTGGCCGCGACGTATGTCGCTGTGAAGGAGGCTAATACGTTAACCGGAAATCGCGTGCGCCGTAAACAACCCTACTGAGATGAGAAAAGTACCGAGCTGAACAAGATGACTGTAAATGAGAGCTGCTGCATTGTCAGATGGATTTATTTTAAATTTGGAAGCCTCATCAACACGGACTRGCTTCATTCACTTCCTCCACTGCCGAATGCTAAACTAACTAGCAGACACTSCGCAGAAAATCGACGTTGTTCAAAACTCCGCCTTCTGTTTGCTGATTGGCCCAGGTGAAATAAACTACAAGCAGACACTGTGCAGAAAATCAACGTTCTGTTCTCTGATTGGCCCGAATGAAATGCTCCCAAAGAAATCCTTGTCTATGGGAGAAATCCCAGACGGAGCAGTGAAGGGAAACTAGAATTGAGCGAAACTGCGTAGGAAGGCGAGGGCCAGGCTACCATTACACGAGCGTTACTGCTTTATTTTAGCTTCTGCATAAATGTATCACGGCCACGCAAAATCACAGTCCACTTCCTCAACTTGTGGCGACCCATACCGTTTCAGTAGCCGGTTATTTCAAAATAAAAGTCTAATTCATTGTAATTATTGTCATAAACATTACAATTACCTTTAAAATGGTACAGGTGGTAGTCTTGAATCAGTTGGTAGAGCTGATACCTCTCAGCAAGAAGGTTGCCGGTTCAAATCCCGGCCCTGGGACCTTTCTGAGTAGAGTTTGCGTGTTCTCTCCGTGCATGCTTGGGTTCTCTCCGGGTACTCCGGCTTCCTCCCACASACCAAAAACATGACTGTTAGGTTAGCTGGTAACTGTAAATTGTCCCTAGTTGTGAGTGAGAGAGTGAATGGTTGTTTGTCTCGTTTGTCTCTATGTGTGGCCCTGTGATGGACTTGTGACCTGTCCAGGGTGTACCTCGCCCCTCACACTGTGACTGCTGGAAATGGGCACCAGTGACCTCGTGACCCTAAAGGAATAAGCAGCTATAGATAATGGATGGATGGAAATGAGTATTTCAAGGTAACGCAAAAGAAAAAAGTCCCAAAATGTCCCCACAGGATTTCCGTAGACCTGGTATCGTTGCTAGAGTTGTTCAGTATATCGCTTTGCRTGTTTAAATCATACCAAAATACTCTATGCCAGGCCTATTTTTTTGAGCGTAGTGTTACGTTTACAATCAACGTGTTTTCAAAAAAATTGTTTGAATGCGGACAAAGTCTCAAAACAAGTATCCTTGCAGAAATCATGACCTCTTTGTGCCCTAACAACTAAAACAATGGTATTTTTAATTTTATTTGTTTATATTTTTTCCTTTTATTCTAATTCTGTTGACGCTAAACCTTGACTGGTGCTGAAATGGTTAATAACCGAGTGGAAATTATCAATAAAAACTCCAACTACAACYGTTTTGAGAGAATCTTTAGTTAGGTTAAACTTTGTTCTTCCTCTGTTTTTTGCAACGTTAATATGGAAAATGTTGCCACCTTGTGGTGCGGCATGAGTATTTCAGATATCTCTCCTAGAAACATGTGGATGTAGCTTTTATTTTTAAAAATAAATGACCAAATGGCACGTGCACATTCTTAAACTTTAAAACCTAATTCTCCCCAAGGTAGACGTCGTTTTACTAGACGTTAGCATTAGCTTTAACGTGAAGTACCATGTTTGGAGGATTAAATCATCACTCGTAGGCCCCGATTTACCACGAGGGGATCTCRGTTTGATTCCAAATGAGTAAAACATGTTTGTGTTTGCAGCTTTGAATTCACAAGGCTCTAATAATTGCTTCAGATAAAAAAAAGGGGGGAGTAAAAAGTGTCATAAAAGTTGTGGAAGCTATTAAGAGACATTCAGCAGAAGGGAAACCAAGTCTGAGCTCATAACTTGGCAAACTGTGCTGGAGGTGGAGAGTTTTTTGTTTTGTTTTGTTTTCYAGAACTACAACTTCTACATCCATGCCATTTCGTGCCATGTTACAAATTTATTCACATTTTATTTTGAAGAGTTGACTCTTTTTGTTTTCTTAATGCAGCTCTGCTGTTTGTAGTGGGTTATTTTTTTGGATTTGGAGAGTTTACGCAGAATAAAACYGAAGAGTAAAGCAGGAGAGGAGAGAGTTAAAGAGAGGAAAGGGAAGACGGGCCCTCTTGGAAGCGCAGCGCTGCAGTCGAGCCAAACCCCGTCCAGTCCAGGATGTAAACAGACTAATCTGCCAAAGTGAAGTCTTTTACACATTTTGGTTTTCGCTCTGGGCTGTGTGACTTTACGCAGCCCAGTTGTTTGACCTCAGATGCTGGCTTTCCCGCTGCTCCGGCTCTGGAGTGTTTAGTTTGACTTGCAGCAGGGGTCACCCAGACTATGCAGACCTGCTGGGTTCTCGACCAAAGCGTTCAAATATTCTTTGACAAACTGGAGAGTGGGACTTTAAGATAAAGCGTTGGTTTTTCTCTGCAGAGTTTGACACTAATTTGAACCTTGAAGGACAGTTTAAATCATAAAGTTCAATGATGTGTATCTGTTGTGGGCAAATTAAAACATGCTGATTCAGCTGTAGCCCTTCATGGAGCAAAACTTTGGGCTCATTCATTAGATAGTTGTTAATAGAAATTTTTAATTTACGTCACCGTATTTACAAATATATTCCCCCATAGAAACTCTTTAAATGATGTCAAATTATTCAAAACATGCCTTAAAATCTCAAAATATCTGCTTCTGTCTGTGTTTAGTTCTTAGCTGTCGTCACTACTTTCARCCTTTACTTTGCCTTAACTGGTTTTATCTACATTTGCACTACTTTTAGCTTCTTTTTTTTAGCTTTTTGCTCTTTTTATGTACTTTTCTGCTACATTCAGCCCTTTTTGGCTTTTTGTTACTTTTCCACTACTTTTAGCTAGCCTTTTGTTCCTGTTTGGCAGGGTACCTTTCCACTAACTTTAGCTTTTAGCTAGCATTTTGCTGCTTGTAACTTATTCATACTTTTTGCAACTTTAATTTTTTTAGTTTGCCTCTTGCTACTTTTATGCCAAAGGCTAGCCTTT